TCCCGGTACCGGAGAAAAACAAAAACAAAAACAAAAAAAAAAAAAAAAAAAAAAAATTCAAGCCCATCCTGGGGAATTTAGCGTCATCCCAATTTCAAGAAAATGAATAATGAAAAAAGAAAGAAAAAACAAAGAACTGAAAAATTAACCATACATGTTCACATCCACACCAGGCATACGAGCCGGAAGGGGGAAAGCACCCATTCGGGTAGGTGGACGGACAAACGCTGTGTGGGTGCACCATGGAGTGGAATGTTACTAAGCCATGAAAAGGAGCGTGGTTCTGACACAGCTCCACTGTGGAGGAGATTGGGAGCCGTGACTCTGAGCGACAGCAGCCAGACCACAAGGCCACACTGTGCCTGAGCCCGTGGGAGTGACGTGTCCAGGACAGGAGAGCTGCAGGAAGCGGACTGCTGGCCCCAGGGCTGGGGGAGGGGAAGCGGGCTCCCAGGGGTGGAAACGCCTGGACAAGACGGTGGCTGCACAGCGCAGCGCATGGACATCACTCAGCTGTGCTCTTTTGTTTGTTTGTTTGTTTTTGGCTTTTTCCCGGTACCGGGAATCAAACTCACGACCTTGTGCTTGCCAGGCAGGCGCTGTGCCGCTGAGCTAAATCCCCAGCCCTTCAGCTGTGCTCTTAAGAACTGGAGTTGCACATCACACCTTCACCGGCTTTCACACGGTGCTGAGGGGTGGCTCAGAGCCCGAGTGCTTGTGCGGAGCCCTGGGTTCCCGTCTTTCTCCCGCCAAATGCAGGTCCATCCGCAGCAGGTCCGTCCCGTGCGCCTGTGACCCTGGGACTCACGCAGCCCAGTCAGGAGGGCCTGTGCAAGACCTGGGCAACTTGGCAAAAGCCTGCCCCAAAAACTTTTCAGAAAGGGGCTGGGATGGGGCTCTCCTGAGCTTAATCCCTAGTATCAAGAAAAAATAAGTAAATTCAAAAGGGTCCGGCCAGGCCAGGGATATAGCTCAGCAGCACAGTGCCCACCTGCCAAGCATGAGGTCATGGGTTCGATTCCCAGAACCAAATCTTTTTGTTGTTGTTTTAAGACACGGTCTCGCTGTGCAGTTCAGGCTGGCCTTGAGCTCACTTTGTAGCCCAGGCTGGTCTCGAACTCACAAAGGTCCTCCTGCCTCAGCCTCCCGAGTGCTGGGATTACAGGTGTGCGCCACCACGCCCAGCTCCCCGGTACCAAAAATTAAATAAATAAATAAAAATAAAAAGGGCTGCAGTGCCTTTGGGGAGTGCTTGTCTAAGCAGGCTTGAGGCCCCAGAGCTTCAGACCTGGGACCAGGTCTTGCCCTGAGTGCAGACTGTGGCTCCTCCTGCCTCAGCCCCGAGTGCTGGGATTGCACACGCGCACCATCATCCCAGCTACACAATTTTTTGATGCTTTTTGTTTCTTGAGACAGGGTCTCGATATGCAGCCCAGGCTGGCCTTGAACTCTGAGATCTTCCTGCCTCAGCCTCCCGCGTGCTGGGATGACAGGTGTGTACCACCACACCTGGCTAGTAAATATTTTTTTAAAAACTTCAAACAAGTAGGTGAATTGAGAGTGCCTGGGTGGAGCTGTGTGAACCTGACCCGTGCGGAGACTAAAGGACGGGTCCTGAGCCCCGGCCCCACCTGTGGGCAATGGCCAGCAGCGTGGTGCCGTGCATGGGCCGCCGCGCCAAGCAGCGGCCCAGGTCCCGGCGCAGCCGCACCCACAGCAGCGGCGGGAAGCGCATCAGCTCCCGGCTGGGAGGCGTCCAGTCGCTGTAGGCGGCCAGCAGCACCTCGTCATCCAGTGACAGCACGTCCTTCAGCTCCGCCTCCGCCAGTCCGTGCCTGCGGGAGGGGAAGGGAGGGAGGAGCTGGCATGCAGTGGCCACCTCTGGGCAGGTGCCCCGCGTGTCCCCTGAGGCCCGCTTTCTGGAGGGTTCCTGCATGTGCAGCTGTAGGATGTAGGCCTGCCCCTCCCTGGGGCCTTGAACTGCGCTGCACCCTCAACCCCCTTGCATTTTTATTCTGAGACAGCCCCTCGCTTAGGCCTTAAGTGGCCCAGGTCAGGGTGAAGCTTGGGACCCTCCTGCCTCAGCCTCCCGGAGTGCTGGGATGATGGGCACGTGTCAGAGCAGGAGAAGGAGGGAGGAGGCATCTGTCTGGGCTTCCCGGGGCTGGGTACACTGGCTCCACGTGTGCCGACCTCGTCAGTCCCAGGCTCTGGGAAGGCAGGTGGGGCGCTCCTATGCATGCGTGCTTGCCGCTGCTGCAACCTGTGCTCTGGCTGCGGGAGACGTGGAGGCAGCTGTGGCCCTGGCCCGGGCCGTGTCTGCGGCCACCTTCTTGCTGACAGAGTCCTGAGCTGGCCAGGGCACTGGGAAGAGGCCGGAGTGACTTGCGTCCTGGTCGCTCTCCTGCTCCTTAGAAAGCCACCAGGGCTCAGTTACAGGGACCCCAGGCCCACGCCAGGCCCTCCCCAGGCCGGGCCCTGGGCACCATGGTTGGCTTAAGCTTCCCCCCTCTGGATCCCTCACGGTGGAGGTAAATTTCAGCACGCAGGCCCTTGGGGACCCTCGCGCCATGCCGGCCCTGAGTTCAGGCTGCAGTCACGGAGCAATGTCCCACGATGGCCCGCACGGCATGCCTGTGCCTGCTAGCAGCTGCGAGTCTGCGAGGACCTGGTCCGGGCCGTACAGCGTCTCTTGAGTCCACACGCACGGTGTGAGGACCAGGGGCAGCAGGGCCTTGTCTCTCGGGGTTCAGACCCTGATGGAGCAGAGCTGAGCCGGCCCCAAAGCCTCCCGTGTGAAGGCCCTGGGATCAGGACCTGTGCCGCTCTGCGGGTTCATCATGGGTGAGCTCCTGGCTGAAGGTGCTGGCGGAGCCGGGCCCGGCTGGAGGTCACTGAACCCTGCCCCAGCACCTTCCTCCTCACCGGCTTCCTGTCCCCCACCAGCCCTTCCAGCACGCCATTTCTGCCACCCACGGACTGAACCCGCTGGCACCGTGAGCCGATAAGCCTCCTGTGCCTCGGTCGTGGTGTCGGTGCTTTGTCCAGCAACAGGAAAGCTGACCGGCACAGGGCTCAGCCCGGTGACCTGGCCACCCAGAGGCCCTTCATCCCGAGACCACCACCCGGGGTGAGAATTTCGGGGGGATCCACACACCCCAGCCATGGCAGCACCCATGAAGCTCATTTTCCAGGGCTGGTGTGGAGCCAGGCAGGAAAAAGGCCACCAGGTGGGCGTTGAGACCAAGTGCTGGTGGAAGATGAACCGGGCATCATGCAGCAGAGGCAGGCGGGGCTTAGAGACCCAGCTTCCGGATCTGTCTGGGCTGAGCTGGGTGCGAGCGGGTGGTGGGGGCGGGAGGCTACCGCCTTGGCAAGGCCTTGGTGAGTTCGAATACTTTTCTTAAAGTGGGGAGTAAGGTGGTGGTGCACACCTGTAATCCCAGTACGTGGGAGGCTGAGGCAGGAGGATCAAAGTGAGTCTGAGGCCAGCCTGAACTACATAGTGAGACGCTGCCTCAAAACAATAAATAAGTACAATGAAAAGTAAAAGCAATGGGAAGCCTCCAGAAGGGCTCAGCCAGCCCAGGAACTCAACCTGACTGACAATTTCAAAATCTTCTCCAACAGGTGTTGAAACCAAAGTTGTACTTAACATCCACAGAAGCACTTGTCACAATGGCCAGGCAGCAGGGACAAGCCACTGTCCACCAACAGTTGGAGAAACTAGCATCCCTGTCATGGAGTATTACCCAGCCACGAACAGGAAGAAGGTACTGACCCAGGCCGTGACGTGGATGAGTCTCGAAAACACGATGTTAAGTGACAGAGGCAGACACAAAGGCCACAGCGTACCACTCTGTAAGCTGGCCAGAGCAGGGTCCGCAGGGACAGGAAACAGGCTAACAGTTCCCAGACTTGGGGAGCAGAAGTGGGAAGCAGTCGCTCTACAGGATTTTCTTTCTGGAGTGAAGGAAACGCTGCAGAACTGCACAGATGCCCAGCGGCGCAAACGAGCTGCGGCCACTGCGCTGTGAGTTCTAAAACGGTTTGCCTCAGCCGGGTGTGGTGCACATCTACAAGCCAGCTACCCGGGAGGCTGAGGCAGGGTGATTGCACGGTGGAGACCAGCCTGGGCAATGCACAGAGACCTTACTTCAAAATGAAATTTAAAAAGGGCTAGGGCTGTAGCTCAGGAGGTCAAGCGCTTCCCTGGCATGGGCAAGGCCCTGGGTTCCATCCCCTTTTAGGTTATGTGAATTTTTCTTCAATTAAAACAAGACAAAACAGAACCTTATCCCTGCTAAAGACAACGAGCAGTCGGCTGTGAGACCTCAACCCCAGAGCCCGGCCCCTGCCCAGTGCATTTTCGGCAGGGCGGCCCCGTGTGTCCAGGGAGGCTGAGGTCAGCCCTTGGCAGGCGTCCTCAAGGGCAGCAAAGGACTCGAATCCCCTGGCTGAGCCCGGGCCTCGGTGTGCGGAGTCAGACCCGAGGAGCTCAGGACTCCCGCCCGGGTGTATGCCTCCTCCGTCAGTCCTACTGTGCGGCTCCGCAGAGGCTGGGTGCCAGCCTGGGTCCTGCCTGCCCCCAGAGCCCTGCACCCCCGTGTCTTCTCACCCCACGGTGCCCCTCCTGCAGGGCGCACAGCGTGGCTGTGCGGTTGCCCTCCCTGCATTTCATCCTGACCTGGGACCCGGCTTCTTGCTGCCTCAGTTTCCTCACTGGCCAAGAGCAAAAGTGTCCGGCGCTACACCGCATCCCTTTCCCCAGCTGCGCTCTCCTGGCCGGGCCAGGGCCCAGCTCACACCCCTGGCAGTGGGCCAGACGGCTCTGGAAGGTGGGGCAGGATGTGAGCAGGTCCCCGGCGGCACCCACAGATGCCAGCAGAGGCAGGAAAGGGGACTGGCGGGGGACGGGGTAGACAGACACTGGGACGCAGGGAGGGAGGAAAAGAAGGAAGGGGAGGGGGGAGGAGAGGAGAGGGGAAGGGAAGGAAGGGAGGGAAGGAGGGAGGGACAGCTGGCCGGGTACATGGCTGGGAGGAAGAAAGGATGGATGGATGGATGGATGGGTAGAGAAATGGATGGACGGATGGATGGATGGATGGATGGATGGACAGATGGACAGACGGATACACAGACAGACAGATGGGTGAACTGCCGGCTGGATAGATGGGTGGGTGGGTGGATGGATGGACAGACGCACAGACAGACACAATAGACTGGGGGACCCCACCTCACACTCTGCAGGGCACGCACCGAAGCTACTGACCCTTGTCCCCTGGTCGTGGGGGACAGCCACAGAGAGCTTCCCGCTGCCCCAGGGGACAGGAGCCCCCAGGTGGGAACCTCAGCCACATGCCGGGGTCTGAGCCCCACCCGCCAGGCTGGTGCGAACACAGCAGGGCTCCACCGCTCGCAGGGGCCGGCCGTCCCCCAGCCACCTCCGCCCCGGCCTCCCAGCGCCCGTCAGACCACGGGGACACAGCCCCGCGCACGGCCTGGCTTGGCTGATGGCACGAGGTACGGCGTCCGGCGGGCGAGCTGACTTCTGTCTGCAGGGATTTTGAGACCAGGACTCAGACAACAAGCCAGGCACGCGTGCCCGCTCCCCAAATATGAGTTCATGGAGCGGAGGGGCCCGAGGCCAGCGGGAGGGAGCAGGGGCTCCAGAGTGTGAGCGGCGTTTGGGGGACCCCGGGAGGGGGCGGGAGCTGATTCCCAGGGGCCCTGATTTCCACAGCGACTCCGCTTCCTCCTCTGGACGCCCCCGCAGTTCCCCTTCTCTGGGCGGCAGGCCAGGCTCCAAGCTTGACGTGGAATCGGGCGCCTAGGTTTCCAAATCCCCTCGGAATGCAGCCCTCTCCTCCCTCCCTCCCTTCCTGCCCTCTGTCTTAGTTTTTTTGCAGGACTACAGGTTACACCAGGAGTGCTCTACACTGAGCTATAACCCAGGCCTTTGTACTTTGTATTTTGAGACAGGGTCTCACTAAGGTGCTAAGTTCCTCAGGCTGGCCTGGAACTTGCCATCTTCCTGCCTCAGCCTCCTGGAGTCCTAAGATGACAGGCGTGTGTGCCCCGTGCCCAGGTCCCTTTGATCTGATAGCGGAAAACTTGTGGCCACCTCCGCCGACCGCGTTGCCTGTCCTTCACCCACCCGCCTCCCCGGGCCCCGTCGGCGCCTTCTCTCTGCCTCCGGGAGTTTCCGCCTCTGTCTGTGGGACAAGGTCCGGCCGTGCGCCTGGGGGCCTCAAATCCAGTCTCACGATGGCTGATACGTTTGCTTTCTTTCTGTGACCACAAATACATTGGAATCGGGTTTTCCTGTTTGTTTTTGGCCGATTCCCACAGGACAACCTGAGATTAAACTTGGACTGGTCCCCGTGATCAGTTCTACAGAGAAGTTTGCCAAGGCCTGTGTGGTGGCGCACACCTGCCATCCCAGCACTCTGAGGCTGAGGCAGGAGGGTCACAGGTTCTAGCCCAGCTGGGGAACTCAGACACTTGGGGAGACGCTGCCCCAGAACATTTAAAAAGGGCTGGCTTCTCTTTGAAGATACCAAAGTATAGCACAACTCTTGATATCTCCTACCTCTTTTGTCTCTAACTCACTATTATTTGTCTATTTGTTTTCCTGAGAAACTATTTTGTAGATAATAATATGTAAAACGATAACCATTGATAATTTCCTACCATTTTGTCTGTAATTTGCTAAGTCCCCCCTATTATTATGTTATCCTTCTTTTATTCTTTAAAATTAAAAAAAAAAAAAAAAAAGGGCTGGCTTCATACCTCAGTGGTGAGCACAAGGCCCTGGCTTCCAGCCCCAGCACAGCAAAGAAACCCGTGACCAAGCAGAGACTTACCGGGAAGCCGCAATGTAGCCCAGCACGTGGGCCACCAGGAGTGGGTCGTGTGTCTGCTCCAGGCGGGCACAGAGCTGGTGAGTCGCCTCCTCGGCAGAGGGGGTCAGGGGGGCGGGCACGGAGAAGGAGGCCCAGCTGTGGGCCTCGTGGAAGGCCAGCCACAGGCGGCCCGGGTGCCCGCACTCCGGCAGGCTGGCCCACAGCAGGTCGCGCTGGGCCGGGCTCAGCGTGCGCCTGGCCTCTGCCAGCAGCGTCCGCACCATCTCCCGGCCCTGGTCTGCCCCGAGGGGCCCCACCTCCCAGTAGGCGTCTGGGTCCCTGAGTGTGGTTCGAATGGCGTCCAGAGCGTCGCGTGGCCCGGAGCAGGCGGACAGTACCAGGTGCACCCGCGGCGGGCAGACGAGGGGCAGCCAGGGGACGCCCCGGGAGTGGCACCCGGGGTCCAGGTCGTCCACGGCGTCCAGCAGGATCACCAGGGACTCGAAGTCCCTGCGGCCCACGGTGTGGAGCAGCACGTGGAAGAAGTGGCCCAGCCTGGCTCGGGCCTGCAGCACCTGGCCGGGCGGCGTGGGCAGCCCGAAGGCCAGGCACAGCTGCAGACACAGGCTGGCCAGGAGCCTGCGGGCATCTGCGCTGCCCTGCGACGTCCCTAGCAGCCGCAGCACCGTCACCGTCTTGCGGCCCAGGAGCCCGGCCGCCTGCTCAGCCAGCTTGCACAGCACCGCAGTCTTCCCGGTGCCCGGGGCACCGAAGAGCACCAGGGGGCTGTGGGGACGGCGGTCGTCCTGCCGCAGCCGCTGGCCCAGCCGGGCCAGGAGCTCCTGGCGGCCGCAGAAGGCCCTGGTGGCCTCGGCGCCCTGCCACAGGTGGTGGCGGATGTCCTGGAAGAGCCAGGCCAGGCCAGGCGGGGTGGGCGGCTGCTCCCTGAGGTGCTGTAGGAGCTGGCGCGAGGCGCTGGCCACGAACTGCTCCCCCAGCTCACGCAGGTAGCGCGCATGGGCCTTGTTCCTGGGGTTTACCAGGTCGCGGGCCCACGGCAGGCGGTGCACCGTGAGCGCCCCGGGCCGCTCCTGGGCCACGCGCTGCTTGAGACTGCCGAGGTGGCCCCGCGCGACCTCGTCCACACAGCCGTCGGGCAGCCGGTCCACCACGGGCAGCGCGCAGTCCTGCAGCAGGTGTCTGCCAAGCTCCGGGATCTCGCGCAGCAGCACGGTGGCCCCTGGGGCGCCGCTCAGCAGGCCGCGCTCCAGCTCCCACTGCAGCCCTGCAAGAAGGGGAGCGGCTGGGGGAGCACCGCGCTGCGGGGTGAGGTGGGGGCGCAGGTTCAAAGGGCGGCAGGAGCTCGTTTTAGCAGCACTGGGCAGTGAACCCGGTGCCTTTGCAAGAGGCTCCAGCCGCATCTTTGTTTTTTACAATGAGCCACGGTCTCACTAAGTGGGCTAGGCTCAAACTTGAGATCTTCCGGTCTCAGCCTCCCCCCAGAATGACGCCCTGCTGTGGGGCCGGGGACCACGCTGAGGTTGTGCTTTTTTGTTTTTGTTTTTGTTTGTTGTTTATGTGGGACCCAGAGCCTCACGCCTCCTAGGCAAGTGCTCTACCACTGAGATTTTTAAATTTTTTTACTTTGAGACAGGGTCACGCTAAATTGCTAAGTTGTAGTGGGGCATGGTGACACGTGCCTGTCCTCTCAGGATTTGGGAGGCTGAGGCAGGAGGATCGCCAGGATTTCGAGGCCAACCGGGCTACATAGTGAAACCTTGTTTCAAAACAAACAAAAACAGGAATCCTGGAACATGGTGAGCAGTTGCTGAGCATTTCGGGGTCCGGGGCTCCAACGCCAGCCCTACAGGCCATAACCAAAATCCCAGTGTAGCCGCCAGCTGGCGAGCAGAGGCATGCTGTGTTATTTCTTACTCTTGGCAAAGGTTCTATTTATACACATTGCTTCACCCATATCACTGAGTAAAGCAGAATAGCTCAGCACCACAGGAGGCAGAGGCAGGAGGATCCCGAGTTTGAGCCCAGCCTGAGCCACTTAGAGATCCTGCCTCAAAATAAAAGTAAAAAGGGGTGGGAATGGAGCGCAGCACAAAGATCCTGGGTCCCATTCTCCAGTACCACAAAAAAGTGTATATTAAGGTTTAAAAATAAATCAATATATTTAATGTTGATAATGTCAACTCATATATTGGACATGCTGGCGATAGAAATTTCTGTATTTAATATTTTCGTGTGCTCTTCCCCCTTGTCTGTAGATTCAGCTACCTGAGCCCAAGGGTGGCCTGAAAATATAGAATTCCAGGGATGACCAACTCTTAAGTTTTTTTGTTTGCTTGTTTTTGTTTTTGTTTTCTGAGACAAGGTCTCACTATGTAGCTCAGGTTGGCTTTGAGCTCATGAAGATCCTCCTGCCTCAGCCTTCCCAAGTGCTAGGATTACAGGCATGGGCCAGCACGCCTGGCCTAGCTCCTGCTTTTCACCCTGCACCCTGTCACAGCCCAGCCGGACCCTGCACCAACACAGGCTGCCAGCGCTGGAGCCGCTGTGCATCCTGAACCACCTGAGGCACTCTCTGCATCACAGCATGTCATGCCTATTGTCAATTCTTTTTTCCAGTCCCAGGGACTGAACTCAGGGGCTGTCTACTCTGAGCTACCCTGCCAGCCTTCTCTGCTTTATTTTGAGACTAGCTCTGGCTAAGTCTCTCAGTTGCCAGGGCTGGACTCGAACTCAGGATCCCCCAGCCTCCCCTACACCGAGCACAGGGATTCTGTGTGGGTACCACCTTCATGGACCGGGGTGCATATTCTGAACCTGTGAGCGTGGTCGCGTGCCCCCAAGAAGGTCCTCAGCTCACCTGAGTGATGGTAGCACTGCCACTGCTCGCGGCTGATGAGGCCCAGTCTCCATGCCTCCTGGGCTGCAGCCCGCAGGACTGAGATCAGGGTGGCCTCCTCGGGACCAGGGGCCTCCCCAGCACCCACCGCCTGCAACACGTAACTGGGGGGCACTGAATTCTCATCCCGCCGGAAGCGACGGGCCACCAGCTCCAGGTCACGGGGCCTGGTGCTCAGCTGGGCCAGCAGAGCCTCCCACTCCTTTTCCTCGATGCGCCGGGGGAGAGAACAGGGGCCGTACTGGTCACCCACGAGAGCCTGCAAGACATGGCAGAGGCGGTGCACTGTCAAGGATCAGCGTGGAGCGGTGCTCTGAGGCCCCAGAAAGGCCCTGAGCCAGTGGTGACAGTTACATTGAGAAAGTGCCCGCCTGTCATCTTTGCACTCGGGAGGCTGAGGCAGAAAAGCCTCAAATTCTAGCCCAGCCCAGGCACCTTAGTGATTTATGGAGACCTACTGTAAAATAAAAAATAAAAGGATGTGGAGAGCCAGGCATAGTGGCGCACACCTGTAATCCCAGCACTCGGGAGGCTGAGGCAGGAGGATTGTTGCAAGTTCAAGGCCATCCTGGGCTACAAAGTGAGCTCAAGGTCAGCCTGCACTGCATAGTGAGACCCTGTTTCAAAAAGACCAAAAAAAAAAAAAAAAAAAAAAAGGATGGGGAGGCAGCTCAGTGTGAAGGCCCTGGTATCAGCTAGCCCCAGGCCCCCTACTCAAAGACCCAAAATTTTGCATGCTCCTTGGCAATGCCCCCTCCCCTCCTAAACTCTCCCATAAAACATGCTCTAGCCCCTTACACTGTGCCTCTGTTTACCCTGACATCTGGTGCCGAAACCCAGGAGGTCGAGCCCCCTCCTAGGAGGCTCCAATCTCCCCCTGCACCCCCCCACCAGGGCTTGCTGTGGCTGCCTCCAACATCCGCCCTCGGGCCCCTCCTCGTCTCGGCCTCCTCTGCAGGTCAGGTGAGGGTCCCTCGCTCCCTGCCCCCTCCTGTCTCTGCCCTCCCCCTCGCTCCGAGTGGCTCTCTGGACCCCGCCTGAGCTGTGCTCCAAAACCCCAGCACTGGTCACACTCGCCCCGGGAGTCTGACCCCTGCTGGCCGCCCAACTCCGGGGACGCCTGGCTGGGCCGCCCGCCCACTCCCTGGGCCTCAGTGAACCCACTGGAGACGCCCCTCCTCTTTCTTGAGTCGCCGCTGTTGGGCTGGTGCCTGGAACCACTACAGGAAATCTGCCTCCTCCTGTCCCTGCTTCGCCACTCTGCGGGGGCTCTCAGGACTCCCAGACCTCCCCACCCGCCTGCCCGAAGCCAAGGTGTCTCGTCGGCTCCTGCAGCACCAAGCTAACAACGGCGCCCAGCAGCCCGTCCACAGCACGCTTGATGTTTCAGTTCTCCGAGACGATTCCTGTTGCAGGCTGGAAAGGGTCTGAGGTCCCACACGTCCGGGCAGTGTTCCCTCTCCGCCGGCGCCCTCCCTCCGTGCCTCCTGCGACCCCGCTGAACTCATTCCCACAGCCCCGCCCGCTCCCTCTGCACCCCTCCTGACCGTGGATTGAGCCGGCCTCGCCGCCCACCCCTCCTCCCTCGCCCTCCGCCCGCCATGCTCTGATGGGGGCCCCTCCAGCTGCCGCTCAGCCTCCACCCCTCTCCCCTCTCCCTCTCACCTCGGCCCCTCAGCCCTGCGGCCCGGCTCACTCTCCGTGAGGTCTCCGGCACGGAGGACGCCGTCCAGGTCCCCGTCCCCTTCCCTCACCGACCTCTCAAATTGCTGGCCGCCTCGGCTGTGCCCTCTCTGACCCCTGCACCCCTGCACAGCCAAGATTTCCAACGCCCAGCTCAAACCTGCGACCTCACGTGGGATGACGTCACTGTCAGCCTCACAGCCACCCTCCCCCGAGGGGCGGGAGCAGGTCTGGGTCCCGGCCCAAGCGCATGCTGACGAGCCCCACCGCCCGAGCCCCTGTCCAGGGGGCGTGCCCTGGCTGTTGCCCGGCCAGACCCCACTGGGACTTTAACTGAAGACACCAGGAGGGAACCTGCCCTGCCAGGAGGGCAAGAGATGACGCGGTCACCTGCCTTGTAGAGGGGCTGAGAAAGCAGTGCGCAAGTCAGATGTGACTTAAGGAGGTTACCCAGAACAGCTGAAAATGCGCTCAGTTTGTGCCCTGACCGGCAGCCACCCTAAGGAAATATGCCACCCTCAGCCTGGGAAGCCCGGAGGGACAGCTGATCCGCAAAATGCATGTTGTCAACAGTACATCTCCGACTTGCACTTACTTGGCTCCTCAACAAGAAGCCCAAAAGCCAAGCAGGACGCCGACCAAACGTCCAGGGGCACAAAGGAGGACCTGCCCCTCCAGGGCCCTGCTTCAAGTGCCAACCAGCAGGCCACTGGGCAAGAGGCTGCCCCAACCCCAAGTCCCCTCCCGAGCCTCGCTCTACGTGCGGGGGCCTCACTGGAAGCCGCAATGTCCCGTGGCAACCGGGACTGCTACGGGGTCCGCTCCCAGGGTGCCCCACAGGACACCCAGCTCTGTCTGACCTGATCGGGTGGGCCTCTGACGACTGACACAACCCGAAAGCCTCGGAGCCCCCCGGACCGTCACGGCTGCCGAACTCGGGTAAATCTTGAGATGGAAAATAAGAGTTTCATTCCTACCTGACACGAAGGTGACCCATCCCGCCCTCCCTTCTTTCCCGGGACGGCTCCTCTCGGCTGACATTTCTGTTGAGGGGATCGATGGCTCCATGTCTAGGCCCCCTGAAACTCCCTGCCGGCAGCTCTGCTAGCTGCAGAATGGCACACTCCCCCAGGCCTTCCTGGTCATCCCGCCCTGCCCCGGCCTGCTCCTCGGGACAGACCTCTTAACAAAACTGTCTGCCACCCCGACTGTGCCCTACCACGGCACCCATCGCCCTCCTGCCCCACCCCCCCCACTCTTCCCTCCTCCAGGCCCCGCGTCTGGGACACCCCTACCCCTCTGTACCCCTCACCAGGCTCCTACCTCACACCTCCTAGAGATGACCACGCACGCCCTGCTCAGCGCCGGGGGCCCCCCAGCTCGGCTCCCACGGCACCAGACCCATCACCACCCACCTCCTCGCGCACGGCCTTCCTGCCTGTCCGCCCCGCCTGCAGCTCCCACCCTTGCCGCCAAAGCCAGGCCAGTCATGCGGCCTGGCCCCAGCCTCTGAGCCATGACCAGACTGTGCTCCCCATCCGCCCGTGGTCCCGACCCTAACCCTCCTGTCCTCCACCCTCTCCACCGCCCACCGCTCCGCCCTGGGTCTCCAGGACGCCTCCCCATCGTTGGTTCTTTGTGACAGTCCTGGGTGCTCGGGGTTTCATTCATAGTCTTTGCTACACCAACGTCTTCAAGGGTTTTACCTCTTCTACCTTCCAGCAGATTTCATGTTTTTGTTTTGATATTTAGACCTTTGATCCATTTCAAATTTAGTTTAGTGCCTGGTGAAAGGTATGGGTCCAATTTTAATCTTTAGCTTGTGCAGAGCCAGTTTTTCCAGTACTTTTTTTTGTGTGTGTGTGTTTTTGAGACAGGGTCTCACTATCCAGTTCAGCTGGTCTTGAACTCACTCACCTAGCTGGTCTCAAACTCGCAGTGATCCTCCTGCCTCAGCCTCCTGAGCACTGGGATTACAGGCATGCACCACCATGCCTGGCTCCAGCACCATTTATTAAAGAGGATATCTTTCTTCCAGTGAGTGTGTTTGGCAACTCTGTCAAAGATAAGATGGCTGAGTATATATGGAGTTGTTTCTGTGTCCTTTAATCTGTTCCGTTGATCTTTGGTTCTGTTTTTTTGTTCTGTTTTGTTTTGTTTTTGTCTTTTTTTGAGGCAGTGTAGTTTAGACTGGCCTTGAGCTCATTTTGTAGCTCAGGCTGGTCTGTAACTTGCAAGGATCCTCCTGCCTCAGCCTCCTGAGTGCTGGGATTACAGGCATGAACCACCACACGTAGCTTTCACAGTAGCTTTATAGTTCAAGTCAGACATTGTGATGCCCCCTGCCTTGCCTTTGTTACCCAGAAATGCTTTTGCTGTTCTAGGTCTCTTCTGGTTCCAAATGAATTTTAGGAGTGTTTTCTCTAATTCTGTGAGATATACTGTTGGAATTTCGATTGGAATTGTGTGAAATCTGTATAACAGTTTTGGAAGCGTGGCCATTTTCACTATACTGGTTCTTCCTACCCAAGAGCAAGGGATGTCTTTCCATTTTCTGACGTCCTCCTCAATCTCCAGTTTCAGAGTACTGCACTTTTTGATTACAGCCACCCTTAGATTGATTCCTAAGCATCTCATTTCTCTGGATGCTACTGTGAAAGGTACTGTTTCGGTAATTTCTCTCTCAGTGAGTTTGTTATTCAGGTGCGGGAAGGCTATTGATTTCTGAGTGCTGACTTTGTATCCAGCTATGGTACTGAATTTGTTTGTTGAATCTAGCAGTTTTTTAGTGGAGTTTTGGCGTCTTCCGTGTGGCATTTCACGTCATCTGCAGATAATGACAGTTTGGCTTCTTCCTTTTCTACTCTCATTCCTTTTATCCCGCTCCCTTGTGTAATTGCTCGGGCTAACGCTTCCGGAACAATGCTGAATAGGAGTGGTGACAGTGGACGGCCTTGTCTTCTTGGTTTCAGGGGGAAAGCTCTCAGTTTTTGTCCACTTAGTATGATGTTGGCTGTGAGGAAGGGCCCTGTGTGACTTCTCCCGGGAACAAGTCTGCCGTTACACTGTCCTCCCCATCCTCTGCTGGACCCGACCAAAGCCTCGGTCACCCCCACCCCACCCCCCGCTCACACTCACGGCCCCCCCCACACACACCCCCTCACACTCCGCCCTCACACCCGCTGCTGGTCCGGCTTAGCGGCCCCAGCTGACCGGAGCAGCACAGCAGCTGCCTCGGACGGAGGAGCCGTCTTCACTTTCCGGGCGGGACTGGCGCTCCCCTCGCGCCCTCAGGTGCCGCCCGTGACCCCCACCCCCACGGCCCCGCCCCGCGATGCTCACCCGGGGGAGCCTGCGCACCGTCGCGGCGCTCCTGCTGGCCGGGCTCCTGCCGCGCCGCGTCTTCCACCCCAGCCCCGGAGCAGCACGCCACCTCCTCCCCGCCCAGTGTCCAGACGCAGCCCTCGGCCCGGCCAGCCCCCGGCACGCTCCCGACCCCGCTGGCACAGAGTGCTGGGTTGCCTCTGCTCCCGCCTCCTCCCCCAGGGTCCCCGGCCCCCCGCATGGGCCGTGGCTGCGTCGTCTGGTTTCCCACTTTTGAGGCCCGCGTTCGGGACACTGAGGCCCGCAGGGACGCCACCACCTCACAGGACCAGCAGCCGCAGGCATGACAGTTTTCCCCGGCCACCCTGTGCCTGTCCAGCAGGGGTTCCCTGGAGCACCCCCGAGACTCACCCCTCCAGCGCAGCTTCACTCTGAACCTCCCTGTCCCCCTGACCACGGGAACACAGCCTCCGACTCAGGCTGCTCCAAGGGCCAGGACTCCCAGGGTAGAAACAAACGCTCAAACGCAAGCTCCCGGTTCCGCTCTCCCGCCAACTCCACATCTCACGTTTCCAGGCGGGCCCTCCAGGAGCTGACCACGCTCGCCGGCCGGACGCCCCGACTGGGACGCCCCCCCGCCCCACGCCTCCTACTGCCCGGCCTGGAGACCTCCCGGGTGGCTTCCGGGTGACAGGGTAAGATTCACCCCACACTGGCAGGATGAACCCCAGGCGCCCCCCGAAGGGACCGTCCGGGCTCTGCTCCCCCTTTTACAGGGGCTGTACTCGCCACCCGCACGGGACAAGGGCAAAAAGTGGGTTCCAAGAGAGAAGGCACCTTAATGACGCATGATGGTTTCTGCCGAAAGACATCCGGCGTCTTTGGGCTGTGCGGAGCCTCGGCTTTTCTCTGCCCGCAAACTGGACAGGAACTTGTCCGCGGTATTTCCGGCCCCCGGAATAGATACAGGCCCGGGCCGCCGAGACCCTGGCCCCGCGCAGGCCCGCTGGTACCCCGGCAGGGCCTCGGAGTCTGTGGGCGTGGGGGCGGGAGCTGCGGGGCTGGCTGTCCCACCCCAGCCCGCCGGCAGCTCTCAGAAGAGACATCTGCGGGGCTCGCGCAGGTTTCCGGTTCTGTCCTGTCCTGGCCGTACACAAGGAAGTGGATCCCCTGGCCAGGTTGGCCCTCCAGAACAGGATCTGCTGACCACAGACAAAGGGGACACCCGCATCTTCCTCACAGGGGGACCCGCGTCTACCAAAGCAGGTCGGGCTTATCCGCCAGAGTCCAGAGTCTCCGGGACCAGGCCGCAGGCTCAGAGAACAGGCAAAGGGTGACCTCACTACGGGCCGGGGAGGAGGCTTCTTCCAAACGGCCGGCCGGCCCGGCTTCTCCTGGTCCCAGGCTTTCTGCGGTTTTGGTTTGGATCTTGCATAATAAAACTCTTAACAGATTTCATCCAAGGACAGATCGGATCCATCCCGTCGAGACAGCTGCTCCTGATGGCCCAAGCTGACCCGTAGCAAGAACCAAAGATCATCAAGCCCCTCGCACTCTGCCACCTTGCCCGGACCCGGCACCCCGTCGTGTCCCCTCCAGCCCAGCACCACCCCCTTCGTTTTCTTCTCTCTCTCCTTCCTGGGATGCCCGAGCGGCCCGAGTCACGCCCGAAGAGGTCCTGAGAAACTGCACCCCCACCCTGTTCTGCTCTAACACCCAGACAGGAATGTCAGGCCTCCGAGCTGGGCCCGGATGGGAGAGAACACCTCCCCAAGCAGGGCTGTTACCCGCACCCGCAGGGGCTGGCGTTCTGCAGCAAGCCGGGAGCTTCCACACACAGCTCAACTAGCAGAGAACTGGTTCTGCAGAAAACCACAAGGGACATGCTGTGGCTGCCGGCCCCCTTACCCCACAGCCCCGTCTGCCAGCCCCAAGCCCCCTACCCCGAGACCCAAAATTTTGCACCCCCTCAGCAACGCCCCCTCCCCTCCTAAACTCCCCTACAAAACATGCCCTCGCCCCTTGCTCGGGGCCAGTGGTCTTTCTGCCCTTCGCCCGGCCACACCTGGCCTGTTAAAGTTGCTTAGACTCTGCCTGTCTTGGTGGTCTCAACTGTGCCTCAGTTTACCCTGACACCTGAGTTCAATCCCCAGTATCAAAAAAAAAAAAGAAAAACGTACAAGCAGACATAGGCCGTGCATGTGTTGGAATCTGAGCTATCAGGTAGCCAGCGGGTAAGTTGCGTTTTTGTTTTGTGTCATTTGGCTTTTGACACGGGGTCTCACATGTTCCCCAGGCAGGCCTCAAACTCCCCGGCTCAAACAATCCTCCTGCCTCAGCCTCCCAAGCAGCTGGGAGTACAGCTGTGCTCTGCTGCGCCTGCTCCAGACAGGTGAGTTTTGATTCCATCAAGGGCTTGGGGGCACTGGTGTTTTTATCCTCTTCCTGGATCCCTCCTGCGGCAGCTCAGGAATGGGCCCAAGGACATCATGAAGGAAACATGACAGTGGCTGAGGTCCTCGTGGCATCCCCAGTGTGCATCCTAACGAGCACAGGTTAAAGCGGAAAGCCGCCTTTTTCTGTTTGTACTTTTCCAGCCTGCCCCATGTAGTGTGGCCTCCCCAGTTGTTTGGGGAGCCCACAGTTCAGTTCCTGGTTCTTCACCACGTCCACACCTCGGATGCCGTTTCCTGTGCGACCCACCTGCTCCCCACATTCACAGGACCTGCCCTGCCCTAGCAAAACCTGCAGTTCTGATTCAGTGCTTCCTGCCTCCTAAGAGCCCCGGGCCCCGTGAGGGCGCGGCTGGCCCTCTTTGTGGCTGCGAGTGAGCCTGCGGCCAGGACCATGGTGTGAGAGGGAGCTGCTCGCGGCCTGCAGATCCTGGGTGTTGCTTCGGCGGCGTCTCTGCTCGCTCAGGCAGCGGGGAAGGCAAAGTCAGGGAGCTGGGGGGGGCACAGGCTCTTCCCACACCTGCTGGGCGGCAGTGTCACACAGCATGGGGACCACAGCCCTAGCTACAAATACTTCTACGGTGGGGATGGTGGTGCATACCCATCATCCCAGCACTTGGGAGGCTGAGGCAGGAGGGTTTTTAGCTTGAGCTAACTGAGTAACTTAGACCCTCTCTCAAAATAAAAATTTAAAAAGGTTGAGGCCACAGCTCTGTGTAAAAGCCCTGGGTTCAACCTCTGGTGCTGAAAAAAAGAAAAGAAGAGAAAAGGAAAAGAAAAGAAAAAGAGAGAGAGATTTGGATAGCAGAGGCCTGCAATCCCAGAATGTGAGAGACTGAGGCAGGAGGATCCCTGAGAGTTTGAGGCCAGCCTTGACTGTACAGCGAGACCCTGTCTCAAAAAACCAAAACAAGGCCAGGGATGTAGCTCAGCGGCACAGCGCCTGCCTGGCAAGCGCAAGGTCCTGAGTTCCATACAAAAAAAAAAAAAGCAAAGCAAAACGGCACAAAGGAGAGGAAAAGAAGCGCCTGCACGGAGAGGGCCGGAGCCCGGGAAGCAGGAGGAGCTCCTGTGCCTGCGCTGTGCGCCCAGGGCAAGGCCTGCGAGAGGCCCCCGGAGCGGCTGAGGCCCCACGGTGCTGACTTTTTACCAGCCTCTCAGCCCCGCAGCCTGGCCCCACGGCTCTGATTTCCATGGAGAGTCCCCAAATCCGCGCCCGGGGGGAGAGGGCACCAGGCCTGGAGGGGGCGGGAGGCAGGGAGCTGGCAGGGCAGCAGCGGGCACCCTCGAGGTGCCCAGGCCAGCTGGGAGGCTGCGGTCGGTGCTGCCCCCGTGGACACGGACGGGAGCCACGCTGCACTTTTCCTGTCTGGATCAGAGCGGCTCACCTAGCTCCGCCTGGCTCCTCCTCCCCTCCTGCCCCTCCTCGCTCTGCCAGCGCCCTGCCCTGAGCTGCAGCCCAGCCCTCTTCCTCTTCTGCTCAGAGACACAGTCTCACTCAGTTGTTCCAGCTGGACTAAAACTGGAGATCCCCCTGCCTCAGCCTCCAAGCCCATATCTGCCCTGGGCAGGCTAGCGGGACAGGGGCCAGAGCAGAGCCCCCCCTGCCTCTGCTGCTGGGCCAGGGTCCAGAGGGCGGCATCCCGCTGACGGAGAGAGGCGTCGAGCCCCCCCCCACACTCACCACGAAGGCCGGGCCCAGGGACGTCCTCTGGCAGCGCTCCAGCTCCTCCAGGCACAGCTCAGCTGTGAGCCAGTCGGCAGCCTCTGAATCCCGCAGGCCCCAGCGCAGGTCCACAGCCTGGGGTGACGGGTGTTAGGTGAGCGAGGAGCCTGCCTTCCTCAGCTCCCTTTGGCCAAAGCACTAAGTTTCGCTCAGCACTCTTAAGGAGCCTCTCTTTTACGTGAATTAAAAGAATTGAAACCCGGCTGCCATCCCAGCACTCGGGCGGCCGAGCAGGAAGATCACTGTGAGTTCAAGGCCAGCCTGGGCTGCACAGCGAGACCCGCCTCAAAAAAACCTTGAGGAACAAGGGGGGCTCTGTCACAGCGCCTCCTTGTGAGTGGACGTGTCCCCGCTTGTCCCCGTGCCTCCTGCAAGGGAGGCGGCTGCCGTGGGCTCGCCGCGTTCCTGCACCCCACGCCTGCGGCCGCATGTGCCAGGCGGCGGCGGCAGAAAGGCCCCATTCAGGTTCCGGGCTGCCCGGCAGGAGGCTGGCGGGAGGCGGGACAGAGGCCCGGGCGGTCCCTGCCGGCCCAAAGTCCTCAGTGCAGAGGACAGAAACTTCCCGCCGGCAGCTCAGGCCGAGAGGGAGACCGACTGTGCCAGAGGAGGAGAGACGGAGCCCGAGCCAGGCCACGGGGAGGGGCAGGCTCCAGGCCGGGCATGGGCCACGTGTGGGGCACGCCTGTCGCCCCTGCTACTCGCCCCTGCTACTCAGGAGGCTGAGGCAGGAAGACTGCAAGGCCCAGTCAGCCGGGACGACTTGGCAGAACACCATCCCCAAATAAAGAAGAATAAAGGAGAGGGGGTACAGCTCGAGGCTTCTGGGGATCCCTCTCCAGCGCTGCAGGAGAGCGAACAGGTGGCAGAGCACTGCCACGCGTGCCAGTCCTGCTCTGCCTTCGGCCGCGGGCAGCGCCCGTGCACGTCCCGCCCGTGGCCTTACCTCGAAGGGCAGGCCTTGCTTCCGGCAGAAGGTCAGCAGCTCGGGGCACGCAGTGCCCAGCAGGGCCTCCCTCTCCGCGTCCATATCTGCAAGGTCGGGCGGGGGTGAACGGCAGACCGGGGCCCAAACCGGAGCTGCCCCGGCTGCCCTGCCCTCCAAGGCCCAGGCCAGGACAGAGACTCACGTGTGCACACGCACACACACGCTCACACAGACACGTGCATAGGAGGCCGGCCGGCCTGCGACCTCCAAATCCGGCGTCCCGAGGAGCCCCCGCGTCCCCCGCCCCTCACGAGGCCCGGAGAAAACAAAGCCACACGGCTGCGGCGCTGCGCAGAGACCAGCACCGGCACGGTGTGAAGAGGCCCTGGGCTTCGTCCTCAGCACCGCAGGGGGAGGAAGGGAGGGAGGAAGGGGAAGCCCTCAGCGAGCTGGTCAAGGTGGCACAGCCTGTAGTCCCAACTCCTCAGGAGGCTGAGGCAGGAGGATGGCAAGTTCAAAGAGAGCCTGGGCAATTTAGTGAGGGCCTGGCTCAAGATTTTAAAAGGACTAGGGTGCGGCTCACTGGTGAGTGCTGGGCAAACAGGTCAAAGCCCTCGATTCCGGCCACAGCACTGCTAAAGGGGAGAGAGAGAGACAGAGAGACAGACAGAGACAGACAGAGACAGAGACAGAGAGACAGACAGAGACAGACAGAGACAGAGACAGAGAGAGAGAGAGACAGAGACAGAGACAGAGAGACAGATGCAGAGACGGAGGCAGAGCGGGCAGAGCCTGGCTTCCTGCCCCGCACTGCTGTCCGTCCGGCACAGCGGCTTTGTCCGTCCGGCTCTGCCCGCGATCACGGAGGACATGGCGGTCTGGCAGTCCTGTCCCCGTCCCCCGCGGCCCTGTGAAGCCGCAGCCACTAAGCACACGTCCCGTCCCGCACCCTCCCGCCTCAGCCCTGCCGCACACTTACCCGAGGTGGCGGAGCTGATGTAGACGGCCACCTCGCTGGGGACAGGCGCGGGCAGCGGCCCAGGCAGGCCGTGGAGCAGCCGCCGGCGGGTACCCGGGCTGAGGGACCCCCCGCAGCTCATGCTGCCACCCCTCAGTCTCAGGACTGCGGCGGGGCAGCCATCGGGGGCTTGGTGACCCACAGGTCCTGCCCCTTCCCACGCCCGGGCCCGGGCCAGAGGGGACAAGCGCGGGGCACCGGCTGGTCCTGGAGCGTCGCCCGCTCCGCCCGCAGCCGCCTCAGCTCCTGCTGAGCAAGGCTCAGCGTCACCACGGCAACTCTGGCCTCCCGTGGGGCCGGGACTGCCAGGCCCTGGGCACGGGTCCCCAGGGTCACTGAGCCGGCAGGGCACAGGGCGCGGGGGTGCGGGGCTGCGCCCGGGGGCAGCGGTGGGTGCGTGCTGGGTGGACCGTGGGTCCCGTGCCCCTCCAGGTCAGTGCCAGAGGTCCCAGTGCCACCAGCACCACCCCTGCCTGGCGCCCTCGCGGTGGGAGACTCTGACGCTGTCGCCCGCGGGGACACCCCGGCACCTGGGGGCCGGGCGTGGAGTCCAACACCGGGATGCACCCCTGCCGCAGAGGGGTCAGCCTTTCCCCGAGTGTCAGCCGGCAAGGGACCTGCTGGAGGAGGCAGCCCTGCTTCAGCTCAGCTCCCCGACCTGCAGGATGCGGGCGCCCGGGACCCGGGTCCCCACTCTGGCAGGGGCGGCACGTCTCGCCAAGACAGGCCCTTTTGGTTAAGGTCACCAAAGCCACGCACTGGGCCAGGCGTGGCGGGGATGCCTGTCATCCCAGCCCCTGAGAGGCTGAGGCAGGAGGAGCCCGTGTGTCTGTGGCCAGCCTGGGCTACAGAGCCAGACACTCTCTCCCCATCTCCCGGCAGCACCTGCTTGGTGCCTGGCTGGTCCCCGCTTCCTCCTTTGCGGGGCCCGGACGCTGCCTGTGACGTGCACCCGCTGGCTCTGCATTCCTCGCCCACACTGCCTCAGTCTCCGCCTGAGGACACAGGCAGGTCACTCTTGGGGGGGGTCTATCTTGCTCGGTGCCTGGTTCTACTCACCAGAGGTCACCAAATGTCAAGAATGTCCCCTCTGCGACAGCCATGAACACCACCAAACTCACCCCTGCTTAACCCTTGATCCAGCACAGCTGGCTCATTTCGGCCCCAGGACCTTTGCTTGTGCTGTGCCCAGGCTCTTTCCCTGTGTCCTCTTGTGTCATCTGCATTTCAGATTCCCTGCCACCTCCAAGCGGCTCTGCCTTTTGTCCCACAGCTCGGGGTCCCCCAGCTGTGCTCTGGGCCATTTGCGCCTATGAATCTGCCTGGCACTCACCACCACTGCCATCTTACTTGTTGGCTTTTTGGCTCCTGCCCCAGTGCAGGAGTCCCGTGGATGCTGTGGTCAGCGTGCCTGGTGCCCTGGAGGGGCCCTGGAAGCACCGTTCCTGCTGTGGGTCAACAGAGGCGCCTGTCCCGTCGGGCACCTGTGCCCCAAGCATCATAAAGGACACAGCCCTGTGCGGTGCTGCCTCCGGCTCCCCAGGGGCTCCAGGACCCCGCACACCGGCTGCTGGCCAATCTAGAACCTTTTGGGGAGCAGGTCTGCCCCCCAGAAGACAAGCTCCGGGAACTTCTGTCCGAGGTACTTTCCGGGTCCTCTGGGCCAGCTCCCCTGGCAACTGGTAATGAGGGAGACTGCAGCTTTCGGGTGCTTTTCAGACTGGCGGTGATCCGCTGTGAGCCCAGCTTCACGGTGCCCTGCAGCGAGGCCAGCGAGGGAGGCCTGGGGCGGCAGTGCCCCACCTGTAGTCAGGAAACCGAGCTTCCAGACCCGCTGCCTACCTCCACCTCGGTGTTGATCATGCGCCTGGGCCAGGGCCCTGTGCGTTGCCAAATGTTGATCAGCATCCCTGGCCCCCGCCGACCAGATGCCAGGCAAGGGGGCACATGCCTGAGATCTCAGCACTCGGGAGGCTGAGGCAGGAGGATCGCTGCGAGTTCGAGGCCAGCCTGAGCTACAAAGTGAGCTCAAGCCCAGCCTGAACTGCATAGCGAGACCCTGTCAAAAACAGACAAAACCAAACCAAAACAAAACTAAGCAGTCACCGTACAGCTTTGCTGTCCTTGTACGTGGCATTCATGTTATACTGAGTGCCCAAGTCGCCTGGCGATGAGGTCAAGTCCCCAGGGGGATCTCACAGGCCCTGCCCAGACTGCACCATGTTACAGAGAACTGAGGGGTGCAGGACCTGGGGGCCTTGGGGGCCGGATCCCTCCCCCAGGCACAGGGGACATCGGCTCCACCACAGCTGGGGAGAGGATGGCGCGGGAGGTGGGGGGCTCCTGGCACTGCAGCTCTACCTCTGTATCTGGGAGTTCCACAGCCCAAGAGTAAAATACCCAGTTTCTCTCTTTGTTTAGTTGCTTTCTCTCTTTTTTTTTTTGTCTTTCTGAGACAGGGTCTCACTATGTGGCCCAGTCCGGCCTGAACTCGAAGCGCTCTTCCTGCCTCAGCCTCCCTAGTGCTAGGATGTCAGGTGCGTGCAACCAGGTCATCACTGTCCAGAGCGGTCCTGGCGCCTCCCTCTTAGGGCTCGCTGCTTCCCCAAAGCGCTCGGGCTGCTCCGAAGAGCGGGGGAGTGCCGCCCTCTGCAGGCCGTCTTGGGAACTGCGGCAACGCAATTACACCTGGGAGCTGTGGCTCGGCCGCGGGCGGAGCCAAGGAATTGGGCGTGGCCTCGGGCGGAGCCGCTGAGGGGCGTGGCCTCGGGCGGGGCTGGCCGCGGTTAAACCAACCCGGCCCTGGAGATGAACCTTGTTTTCTTTCTCTAAACCGTGGTGCAGGGGTAAGGAACGTTCTCTTGCGGTATTTTCTTGAAAATGCAAATACGCGCAGGGCCTCAGCACAGAGCACGGCCTGCACCCGGGTGCCGCCCCCCACCGCCGCCCCCAGACAGACGGGACCGCACCGGAGGCAAGTGTGCCCTGGAGGGTGGGCCTCTTTATTAAAGTTTTCATATTTGAATGGGTTTTGTTGCACTCGCTTTGATCTTACAAATATTACTATTAAAGGGTTATTTGTGGGGCTGGGGATTTAGCTCAGTGGCAAAAGCGCCTGCCTGGCAAGCGCAAGGTCGTGAGTTCGGTTCCCGGTACTGGAGAAAAACCAATAAAAAAAAGACAAAAAAAAAGGGTTATTTGTCTTCCTCTCGTAACACCGTGAGTGCCACCCTCCGCTAACACAAGTATACAGTGGGAGGCTGAGGCAGGGGGATCGCTGTGAGTTCGAGGCCAGCCTGCACTACACCGTGAGTTCAAGGCCAGGCTCAACTGTAAATGAAACAAAACAAAAACAAAAACTCTAAGCAAAAAAAGCAGAAAAGAAACGTCGGCAGCAATATTGGAAGGTGGTAGGGCCTTTAAGAGGCGGCAGGAAGTGAGGTCATGGGGGTGGGCTGGAGGGCCTGGTGGGTCCCTGGTTCCTCGCCTACGTCCCCTGCTTCGGCCAACAGCGCCGCTGGGTAACACGGACAGAAGCTTCACAAGCCATGAGCCTAACAAAGCTTTGCTCCTATAAGTCCTTTGCCCTAAGGACGTTGTCATAGCAACAGGACTGCTGAGGTAAGCATGGGACGCACCAGGCTTCGGCAAGTGTTTGCTGACCTCCATGCTACAATGTTTGGGGCCCCCATATTATAGTTTCTTAAACTTTGTTTTTTGGTACTGGGACTCAAACTCAGGACTTTGCGCTTGCCAAGCAAGGTGCTGTGCCGCTGAACTATATCACCAGCCCCCCCTCCTTTTTTTTTCTTTTGAGGCAGGGTCTCCCTGTGTAGCCGAGGCTGGCCTCAAAACTCCCAGGGATACTTGTGCCTCAGCCTCCAGAGTGCTGGAATGACAGGTGTGTGCCACTATGCCCAGCTATTTTTTTGCTTGAGACAGGGTCTTCCTATGTTGTTATGGTTTGTGTTGAGATGTCCCCCAAAGCCTCGTTTAGTCATGGGGTGGGCTTCTAGAGTTCGTGCTTGATCCGTGGTCCAATGCTGGGATTATGGGTGTGAGTGCCACACCCCCCCTAGGGTGGGTCGCCTGCATACATTATAATGGAGGGAAAGAGGCTTGCTCCCCCTTTGCTCTTGTTGCTTTTGCTGTTTTCCGCCACCATGAACTGTTGTCCTCTGCCAAGTGCCACCCTGCCTTGGAGCCAGCTGAGTATGGACTGAAACCTCCACAGACTATGAGCTAAATAAACCTTTCCATCATTAATTCTGGGCATCGGGTATTTTGTCTCAGCAACGAGAGAAAAGTAACCAAGACATATGTAGTTCTGGCTGGCCTTGATGTTGTGGCAATCCTTCTGCCTCAGCCTCCTGAATGTTGGGATTAGAGGTGTGTGCCAGCACACAGGGCTAGGATTATGGTTTTTATAAAAAGAGGAAGGGCCCGGGATCTTTCCCGCTCTCTGCTGTCTCCAGACACCAACTCTGGCTGACCCTGATCCTGACCTTGATCTCTGGCTTCCTGCACTCCAGAACTGGGAGCATAAGTGTTGGTGAGCCACGCAGGATCCTGTAAATGATATAGCAGCCTGTGCTAGAGTTCTCCAGAAAACAAGGCAAAAACAATAAGATGGACACTGATGTGTAGCAGAATCATTAGAGGGGATCAGTTCATGGCTGTGTGCCAATAAAACTTTATTTACAAATATAAGTGGGGGGCCAGATTTTTCCTTTTACTTTTCTTGTTTTGCACAGCTGAGGATGAAAACCCAAGGCTGCCACTGTGCTATGTCCCAGCCCTGGGGGCCAGATTTAGTCCATGTTTAGCTACCCTTGACCTAATCCAGTAGCTCCCCTTGTACAGGCGGGCTCAGCCATCCTCCCTGCCAGCAAGGAGCAGAATTGGGGCTGCCCGCGTCCTGTCTGTGTGCCTGCACTCTGACCCCTCTGCTGGCTTGCATGGGCTCAGTTTGATGTTTATTTCTGCCACGGATGGGTTGGGGCGGTCCCAGATGTAAACCCCTCACCTTAACGCTAACTGCCATGCCGGCTGGAGTTGCTGGTCCTGGGGAAGGCGTTTGGTGGGACGTCCTTCAGGACAACCAAGGGAAATGCAGGCTTCTCGGGGAGAATCAGACCGGTCCGCATCGGCACTGGGAGCACACGGGACCTTAACTCTGTCCCCCGAGAGCAACATCTGCCTGACACCCGCCCCTCTGACTGTGGGGACTCCTTGTTTCTCTTTTCAGGGCTGGCCTGGAGCCCGGGGCCTCACGCGCGCTACACCAGCGCTCGCCCCTGAGCAGCATCCCAGGCACTTTTGATTTTTTATTTTGACACAGGGTCTCACTAAGCTGCCCAGGCTGAGCTCAGAATTGTGATCCTCCTGCCTCAGCCTCCCAATTGCTAGGATCACAGGGGCGGGCCACTGCACCAGACGTAAACCTCAGTTTTGTTCCGTAAAATGAAGGTGAGAAGCTGCTGCGTGTGAGCTGCCTGCTCGTGGGCGCCGTCCGGGCTGGATTTGTTTGGGGGACGTGGCGGGGGGCTTCCAGCATGACTGGGCCGTCCCGGCTGCTGGCTGTTGTCGCGCTCCCCTGAGACCTGACTCCCAGGCCCCGCCGTCTGCCAGCGCAGGCGCTGTTCTCAGGTCGGCGCCGCGGCCCTGGCAAACACGGGACACCGTAGGGAAGACAGAGGGAGCTCGGAGACTTGCAGACACCGGGACAGCTGAAGGCCGTCACACCGCGAGCCGCAGGGCTCGGCCGCCGAGGCATGAGGCGCCCGAGAACGCTGACCGCCGAGGCCCCCTACGATCCTTCCGTCCGATGCCCCTTGCCTTCTTCCCTGCCCTGTGAAAAATCCCGCCTCTCGTTGCTCCTGACGCGGCCTTTTGCCCTCCGCCCGCCTGCCCGCACCCAGGCGCGACGCTTGCCACACCGCGCTGCCTTCACCCACCCCAGAGGTCCCGCCTCGCCTGTCCTCACAGCTCTCACCTCCCCGAGCCATCGCTGCCCACGGGGCAGACACTGGGGTCGCCTCTAGATGTGACCCATTCCTCCCCCGCCATGAGCCGGAGGCCCGCAGTGGGCCCGGGAGATTATCGTGGCGCTGAGAGGCTCTGCTGCCTGGGACACTGTGGCGGTCGCTCGGTCCCTGCCTGTTGGGGGACCCTGGTGCACACAGACCCACGGCACTTGGGTCTTACAAAAGCACAGGGCCACGTGGAGCCAGGCCGCATGCTGGTCATCCCCGCTACCCAGGAGGCTGAGGCAGGAGGATTGAGAGTTCAAGGTCTGCCTGGGTAACTTAGCAAGAGTCTGTCTCAAAATAAAAAACGTTTAAAAAGGTCCTGGATGTAGCTCACTGGTACAGTGTCCCTAAATTCTATGTCTTCTACCAAAAAAACCACAAACAAAAGGACAATCAGATGATGATGGACATTACCTCTTACTGATAATGACAAATGATGTTACAGCCCTATGTATTCACTTATTTAGTTGCTTTCTGGGCTGGCCTTGAAGGTGCAGTCCTCCTACCTCAGCCTTCCAGAGTGTTAGTGTTACAGAGAGCTAAGTCATCTAGAAATATTCTAGGCAGTCAGGGCTGGGCCTTCAGAAGTCAGTGTAAAAGACAACCGTGAAGCTGGGCGTGGTGGCGCACGCCTGTAATCCCAGCACTTGGGAGGCTGAGGCAGGAGGATCTTTGCAAGACCAGCCTGGGCTGCAAAGTGAGGTGAAGGCCAGCCTGAACTGCATAGTGAGACCCTGTCTCAAAATGACAAAAGAAAAAAAAGAAGACAACCGTGGCTGAACTCACTGAAGGTCAGGCCTCAGGACAGAGAAAGGACAATCCCACATCCTTCCCCTAGGGATGGACAGCCGTGATTGATATTCTAAAAAGGCACCAGTCCCCTTGGGTGGGGGACCAACCTCCCTTCCTGGAAAGGCCCCTGTTGTTTCCCACAGGTTTGCTACAAGACTTGCTTCCCCATTTATCAGCACTGCCTGAGCGACTATCCTCATCATCTCATTGGTTCACCAGTCTTTCCCACATGATTCCCCATTGGATCAGTGTTACTACGTGTAATCTTATTGGTTGATTGTAGTTTTTCTGGCTTAGCCCCGCCTCACCTTGTAGTTTTGCTCTAGAAACCTTCGGGAAGCTAGGCCCAGGGACCCCTTCCGTCTCTCCCAGACAGAAGCGTTCTCCCGACCCCCTAAGTATTCTCTGCTCGTCGCCTGTTGCTCCTAGCACTCCCTGGTTCTAGTGAATGTGAACTCGGCGTATTGGACACCCAGCATCCGGCAGGCGGGGAGCTGCGATGTTCCCGGGTGTTACTGCAATGTTCGGAGGTCCTGTACCATCCCGTGTCGCTAGGGTGACAGGTGTGTGCTGCCTGTTTAGTGCGCTGTTTTGATTGTTATTTATATATTTATTGTCATTCTTATGGTGCCACATTTTTTAATACTCTTTTTTAATGTTCATACTTTTTGCCGTGGGGGGGGGGGCCGCAGGGATCGAACTCAGGACCTTGCACTTGCCAGGCAGGCGCTGTGCCAGTGAGCTACATCCCCACCCCTGGGGCTATATATTTTTTTTTTTTTTTTTTTTGTCTTTTTGATACAGAGTCTGGCTGTGCAGTTCAGGCGGGTCTTGAGCTTTGTAGCCCAGGCTGGTCTTGAACTCGCAGCGATCCTCCTGCCTCAGCCTCCCCAGTGCTGGGATTACAGGCGTGCGCCACCACGCCCAGCTCGTATTTTTGTTCTTGATTTCTTTTGTGCTGCTTCTACTCACAGGAACAAGTTTGCCGCAGAGACCTGAGCAGCTCAGGCAGGTCCCTGGGGGATGGCCATTGTCCCAGCACTATCTTCTCCCTGACGACCGCCCAGGGGACAATCTAGAGGCCCTGGTGACTTTAATATAAATTCTGACCTTGCACAGGTCTAGGCGAGTGTGTGTGTGTTAACAAAAAAGCTTAAACCAGACACGGTGGCTTAATCCTGTAATCCCAGTATTCGGGAGGCTGAGGCAGGAGGATCAATGCAAATTTGAGACCAGCCTGGGCTACGTAGGGAGACCCTGTCTCAAAACAAAAAACAAAAAAACAAACAAAAGTTTAGTTTTTTCATTTTGAGACAGGTCTCGCTAAATTGCCGAGGCAGAACTCAAATTTGCAATCCTACCTTAGCCTCCCTGAGTGCTGGGGTCACACACAGGTGCCCTCAAGTCCGGGATACCCAGCCTGGCTCCGGAGCTAAAATCAGCCGGGATTTGAGCGGGCCCTGGCGCCGGCACACCCACAGGTGGCAGAGGCTCGACATGGCGTGCCGCTTGCGGGCGGCTTCCCAGAGTAGGCCAGGCAGCTCTTCCCGTGCAGTCTTCTCACAGCCAGTGCGGCCCGGGCCTGTCCACCGCGGCCGCCGCCTCACAGCCCAGGCTGGCCAGGCCTGGGGCGCGTGTGTGTCCGTCTCCCCATCAGCAATGAAGCTGTGGCTGCGGGGAGGCTGGGGGCCTGACCCTGGGCACAGGACGCATGCCTGTCATCCCAGCTCCTCAGGAGGCTGAGGCAGGAGGGGGCAAGCTTGAGTTCAGCCTGGCCAACTTAGTGAGACCCTGTCTCAAAATAAAATAAAGGCTGGGGTGGGACTTGGTGGTAGGCATTGGCCTGGCATGTGTGAGGCCAGCACACAAGCACCACAGCACCACAAAGAAAAAGCGGGGAAAGGGCCGTGAGTGGGGGGGCAGGGGAATACACAGAAGTGGGACTGCGGGATCCTGTTGTAATTCTGTGTAATTTCTTGAGGAACCAGATTAGTGAGTCTTGAGGGCTTTTTGTATGTTCTGGATACTCATCCACTGTCAGATGCACCACCTGTGGGGGTTTTGATTTGGAGGGTATTTGTTTGAGACAGGGTCTGGCTATGTGGCCCAGGGCAATCCTCCTGCCTCAGCCTCCTGAGTGCTGGGATTACAGGCCTGCACCACCACACCCCACCAACTTTCTTTCTCTACAAGGTGCTCTGCTCTGACCGTTTGCACCCCTAGAATCGTGCGTTGGGACACAGCACTGAAGCGGGGAGCTTGGGGAGGAGATCGTCATAGATGGGATCAACCCAGCGTGGGTTAACTGGGTGCTCAAGAGAGTGGCTTTGTTACCAAAGTGACCTCTGCCAGGTGTGGTAGTTCATCCCTGGGATTCCAGCATGCTGGGAGGCTGAGGCAGGAAGATCACAAGTTAGAGCATTGCCTGGGCAACTTAGGGAGACTCTGTCTTAAAATAAAAAGGATTTCTGAAAAACAAAAACAAACACAAAACCTTCCGGCCTTCCTCAGGCACCCAGACTGCAGGGTTTTGCTGCAGCCCCAGAACAATGACCAGGCAGGGTCCCCAGTGAACTCGGCAAACCCCGCCCCATCTCTGAAAACTCAAATCTGCTCCACCTCAGCCCCTTCGGTCCTGTGTCCTCGAAGCCCTGCCACGTTGCCGGCCGGAACCAGAGCACTGAAGGGTCCATTCACAGCGGGTTTATTGGTTGGTTTGGCTGGGACGGGCACTCACGAGGAAAAGACAGGCTGCGAGGCCGCCGGGGGTCGCTGGGGCAAGGCACTTTCCGACACCAGGACCCCGCGCGCCCCCGACAGCCGAGAGGAGGGCGCTGCCGTCTCCCTGCTCACTGCCACCCCTCTGCTCCCAGAGTAGGTTCAGGGTGTTTCACGAGTGACTCAAGGAGCCGCAGCGAAGCATGCGTGAGAGCCGATGCTCCGGGCTCAAAGGCAGAGCCGGAGCTTGGAAGCCCCACACCACTGGCCACGTTTCTTTGGTTTGGGGGCACCTTGGCCTCTCCAGTCCGGCCTAGAGCCCTTCTCTGGCCATCTTCCCAGCAGCCCTCTGTGCAGGGCAGGACAGAGGTCTCCGCTGCCATACAGCTGGGGAGCAGGAGCCTCAGAGATGGGTAGCAACCTGCCCGGGACGCCCAGCAGCCCCGGCCCTGGAGCCCGGGCCAGAAGGGGCTTTGAAACCTCTGCCCCGGGTCGCAGCGGGCACGCAGGCGGCGGCGCCGACGGAGCGGAGTGAGCGCCCCTCAGAGTCTTGGAGCCAAGAACCAACTTCAGGGCCAGGACGCAGCTCAGCAGCGCAGCGCCCGCCTGCCCAGCGCAAAGCCCTGAGTTCAATTCCTGGTACCAAAAAAGAAAAAAGCCCCTTAAAAAAGCCATTCCAGAGGAAAATGAAACAGACCAGGAACATCTTGGCCAGGGCTGTGGCTGGAGCCGGGGGGAGCCCGTGAGCCCCCAGAGCTGGGACTCTGGGGCCCGGGAGGAGGACACACCCCTCTCACTGCACCCCGCCCTGGGGGCCACGGCCGAGGTACCAGGAGGCTGAGGCTGCTGCGGAGCCCTCTGGGCCGCCCCTAATCCGCCTTCTTGGTCTTCTTCTTCCGGGACCCCTCGCCCAGCTCCTCCTTGGTCTTGGCCGGCGGGCAGTGCTGGGGGCCGGGGCCTCCACCGTGCGGGCCGCCATGGTTGTCATGGTGGTCGCCGGCCCAGCCCGTCCCAAACAGCACGGGGCACATATAGCCCTCCAGGACGTCGAATGGGGACCCGTGGGAGTGGGTGGCCGTCAGAAACACCTGGCGCGGGGGGCGGGGACAGAGAGGGAAACGAGGGAGAGGCAAAGGGGACAGAAGTCAGTGAGGCCAGGTGGAGGGGAGGTCCGGCCCCCACAGGCCTGGCGGGGTGCCTGCCGCGCTGCCCCTGGGGTCCACACGGGCCGGTGAGGGCGGCGCAGCCCCTGTGCAGTCCCCAGCAGTGCTGGCCGGTTTTCCTTTCATGGTACTTTATTGTGAGACTGGGGACGGAACCCGGGCCTCATGCTGAGCTCCGCCCCCACCTCCCTGTGTCTTGATTTGGAGACAGGGTCTTGATAAGTTCCTCAGTTCCCTAGGCTGGCCTCAGCCTCCCAGAGGGCTGGGATTATAGGTGTGTGCCACCCCGCCTGGCTGGCCCCAAACTTAGTCCTCCAGAACCATGGGGGATGAGCCTGTCACTGTTAGGCCACCTAGTGTGCAGGGCCCTGCACTGCCGACCCTCAGGGCCTGATGTGGGCATGGGGTCGGGAGTGGGGTGGGGGGCAGGCTCCGCCCTCTGTGGGCGCTCCTCCTCTGTCCCCATCCCAAAGGGCCCCATCCCACAGGACTGCCCTCTGTGGGCGCTCCTCCTCTGTCCCCATCCCACAGGAGGCTGAGGCAGGAAGGCTCACCTTACAAGACACCATGAACATGGTGAAGAGGAAGACGAGGGTGGCCCTGGACACGGGCAGCCAGCGCGTCTGCTGCAGGGTGAAGAGCACGGCCCCGTACAGGCTGGCCTTGCTCGGGCTGTTGGGGGGGGCCGTGTCACCGGTGCCACCGCAGCGCACCCCGTCCCACACCCAGGCGGCATCCCCACGCCACCACCCGCCTGCCTGCCTTCTGCTTTTCCTGGCGCTGGGGCCGGAAGCCGGGGCCTCACAGGGGCCGGGCAAGCGCTCACCCCCGAGCCGCGCTGCGAGTCTTCTTATTCTGAGCAGGGTCTTGCTGAGCCGCGGGGCAGGGCTGGCGCGTGTGAGTGTGCTGCTCGCAGCCCACGCTCTGGGCCCCCCGGCAGCTCCGTCCCTTGTTCCCCGCACAGCCTGCACCCCAGCCCTCAGCCCCGGAACCACCACTGTGCCGGCCCGCCAGCCGCTGTCCAGAGGTTCTTCCTAGCCTGACAACGCCTGCTCATGCCTCACCGTCTAACCCGTGCCCCCTCCCAGCCCTGGCCTCCGGGCCAGTCCTCGGCCACACTCACAAGGACATGTGCAGAATCTCGTTGGTCTCCGGCTTCCAGACCCCACGCACCAGCTGCTCGAAGTTGGCCATGAGGGCGACGCCAGACCCTGCGGGGAAGGGTGCTGGTGAGCAGGCCGCTGAGGCCCTGACCTTGCAGAGGACGCAGGGCCTGGGCAGCCCTGTCCCTTTCAGCGGGGAAACGGAGGCTCCAGCGACGGAGCTGCCACGTTCGGAGCCAGGCCAGCATGAAGGGACAGGCCCGTCCCCGCCCGCCCCGGGGGCGGGTCCGAAGCTTGACTGCTGCCTGACGCCCACCCGCACAGGACGCGCCCTCCTCCCGGGTCCACCTGGTCCCGGGCACCCCAAGAGCTGAGGACACGCCCTCCGGAACCAGGGTCAAAGCTGCACTCCTCTCGCCGTGCAGGGGCTTTCTGGGCAGTCTGTCCTCTGGGAGGCATCCAGCAACGTCCACGGACACTGGCAGCTGTCGCAGCTGGGGGATGCTGCTGGCATTGAGCAGGAGGGACACGCGCTTCCCCCAGGAAGAGATGGCCCAACCCCAGCGTCAGCGGTTCCACGGGCGCCGTGGCTCCCTGGAGGGGGACTCGGGGTCCCCTCTCTTTGGGGACAGAAAGCAGTTTTTAGCACCTGTCTGAACCTTTCTTCCTGGACTTCCTGTTACTCCTTGGGAGACTTCTCCAGGGATGAAGGTGGGGTTGCTCTTCACTCCTAGCTTCTGCCAGCATTTTTGTTTTGCTTTGTTTTTTGATTGTTTGAGACAGGGTCTCACTATGTAGCCCAGGTTGGCTTCGAGCTCACAGTAATCCTCCTGTCTCAGCCTCCTGAAGGCTGGGATGATGGGGATGTTGCTTTGTTGGCGGCATTCAGTGATGTCTAGGGTGTTTCACAAGGCACTCAGGGGATCAAATGGAGGCCCAGGGGTGCTGCTGAGGGTCCCACCATGCATGCTGGCTCTTGCTGTGTCCCTGCCATCCTGTGGACGGGACCCTAGATGCTAGCTGGGTCCTGGCTCACAAGGAGGCCCGGCACGAACAGTGGTCGGTGTCCACCCAGTGGGGCATCCCTCTCCGGTCCCCGTCCCGCTTACCTTTGACCCAGCCAGTGGCGATCATAATGAACCAGCCGTGGTGGTAGTGGTGGTGGGCGTGGTGGATGCCCACTGCGATCTTGCGGACCCGCACCACCTCCTTCATGGCCACGAAGACCAGCTTGACCGGCAGGAAGCTCACGCACTTGTAGAAGAGGTCGAGCGGGCAGAAGAAGGTCAGGTACCTGGGGAGGCCGGGTGAGGTCGGAGGTGGCCGGCTGTGTCCCCTCCCCGCCCCGCCCTGTGGGCGCCCTTACCACACAGCCGAGGCCAGCAGCACGCTGGCGCTGTTGCTGAAGTAGTCGATCACGGGCTCCCCGAGCAGCAGGTCGGCCAGGATGTAGCTGCCGAAGCAGTGCAGCATGGCGCACAGCCAGGACGCGGCGGGGTGGCGGCGGGACAGCTCCACGGCGCCTGCGGAAGCACATCCCCGGCACTGTCACCGCAGGCCAGCGGCCGGTGGTGTCCCCACGCACCCTCCCGCACGCCCAACGCCGGGGCCAGGGTGTTGGCGACTTAGAGGAAGGAGCAAGGCCCACGCGGGCACCGGGGCTGCACAGGGGCACGGCGGGCGAGGGCCTCTGTGCCACACGCAGGGGTGGCCACGACGGTGGTGCCCTCACGCTGGCCGGGGCCTCCCAGAAGCATTCCCAGGAGACCCAAGCCCCACAGCACCAGCAGAGCGGTGGTGCGTGTGCACACGCGTGTGCAGTAGTGGGCCTGAACGCGGGGCCTTTGCACCGAGCTGCACCGCCAGCCCAGGTCTCACTGTGTAGCCCAAGCTGGCCTTGAACTCGCCGGAGCCTCCTGCCGCAGGCCCCACAGGGCTGGGACTACAGGACCCAGCACCCCATCGCCTTCCCACCATCCTTTCCTTGAGGTGGTTCAGTTAGGCTCTGGGGCGGAGCCTCCCTCCTCGGAGGATTAGTGCCCTCAGGCCCGCGATGACCCAAACTGCAACCCCAAACCCACTTATTTATCACAAAGTGCCAACGCTGCACTTACACCTGAATCCTGAGGTTTCAGGTTAACTCATACATGCATGTCTTAAAAGAAAACAACATGCGTGCCATAGGTTCACCTCCACTGCCTTAAAGACCCGTGACGCCTGTGCCTGCTGTCCACCCGGGGGCACCGAGGCGGGCACAGGCCCCCGCTGAATCAACCACCCCACCGCCGCAGCCCCGACCTCAGCCTTCCAGCCTCTGCGGCGGGGACAAACCCCGGGGTTGATCACCACCCCGCTGGGCGGGCGCTGTTACAGCACGGGGCGGAGGAGCCCCTGCCATGTACCGCGGTGCCGGCCATCCCAGGGCTCCAGCCCGGTAAACAGGGGGGGCAGGCGAACTTAGGGGGCACTGTGGGGGCGGGTCCTGACGGTTCACGGTCTAGCGGCTCTTTTGCTTTCTTTCCTTCTCTCCCTCTTCCCTGTGGAGGAGACCACTCCAGCACCTGCAGATGCAGAGGGCAGCAGCGGACGTGAGCAGGCGCGGGTGCCCTGGCCACGCGGGGGAGATCAGAGACGGCGACTTTTCTGCGATCCTGGGCCCCCAATTATTCATGTGCCCACCCTGTGGCACTGTTGGGAGGGGTGGAGCCTTTAAGGGGCGGGGCCTACGGGAGGTTGTCAGGTTGGGGCGTGGCTTAGAGGCGTATGGGGCGTGGCCCTCCCTCTTCCTCTGAGCGTGCCTGCGCAGAGGCTCTGAGGCCCTATCCTGATAAACCTTTCCTCCTCTCACCTGACTGGCCTGGGTGTCCTCACGGTGATGCACCCAGCACTTCCACTCCTTGCAGGTGCTGAGGGGACTGCAGGAGGGGTTATACCAGCAGAAAAGTGACGTCTAAGCCGGGTGGCACACACCCACCATGCCAGCACTCTGGAAGGCTGAGGCAGGAGGATCACAAGTTCCAGCCCAGACTGTGTCCCGGACAGGGGACTCCATAGGGGCAGGGACCGGGTGGTGCCGCTGGAGGTCGGGGTGGGGGTGGGGTGGTGGAAGCATTCTGGATTTATATACAGCCAACCCTCGGCTCTTCAGGGTGAGCCCTCACGCCTGTGGAAGGACGCGGCTCCTGGGTCTCCAATGCTGTCCCGGTACACGACCCTCCCATCCACTCTGGTTTTCGGCAGTGAGTTTGGAGCCCGGGACTTGCACATGCTAAGCAGCGCTCACCACCCACCTCCACCCCAGCCCGGCCGCAGGCTTCAGCCACTTCCGCCTGGGGGAGGGCACGAAGCACAGCAACAGCGGCTGTGCGCGCTGCTTAGGGAAACACGACAAGAAATGAAGTCCGGACAGACTTAGCTCAGACCCAATCTGTCAGCTTTAGTCTTTCTCTTTGCCGGTAAGGCCTTGCTCTAGTCCAGGCTGGACTTGAACTCACTACAAAGCCCAGACTGGCTTCAAACTTGCAGCAATGCTCCTGCCTGCCTCAGCCTCCTAAGTGCTGGGAATACAGGCCTGTGCCACCACACCCAGCTCTGCCGAATATTTTCCAGCCATGGCTGGTCCAATTCCAAGATGCAGAACCCATAGAATTTCTGTGCGGCCTCGTTTACTAACCAGGTTTTCAAGGGTAAGGCTCATCTTCACCACTGTGTAGTACTCTGCCATAAGAAGAGATGCAATTTATGCCCCCTCCAGAGTACAGCTTATGGTCAGCACACAACCCGGACACAAGCAACCAGCACCTCTTCATGTCTCTGCTCCACACCCAGCTGCCACACGAGCTCGGACTCAACTACTCTCTCTCCGTGTCAGGTGGGGACTGTGTTACCCACCCTTCCCTGCCTCAGAGCTAGTGGAGACTGGGGTGCCATTCCCTCCCCTCCCCATACCTCAAGGTCTTTGGCTAAGAAGCACAACCCTCCCTCCCTTCCTGTCCGGGCTTTCTATTTAAACTGGCTTGGGCTGGGTTAATCCTCTCAGCAGCTGCCAGGTCTGTGGGGCGGGGCTGGGCAATGCACCCATCTTCTGCAGAAATGGATACTTTGTATCTAAAAATAACTCCCAGGGGTGAGAGCCTGCCAGGGTCTTCCTTTTGCCCTTGGGGATCACTCTGGGTCCAGCTGGGGCTGGGGGGGTGCAGCTTGCAGTCCTGATAAGCTCTGACCAGAAGGCTCCTGGGTGTGTCCCGTGAGCAAACCCTGGCATCAAAGTCACATGGCCAGAGCCACCTGTACATCCTGCATCTGGGAGGCTGAGGCAGGAGGCTACCATGTTTAAGTCTGGCCTGGACAGTTCAGTAGACTCTGTCTCATAAAGTAAAGGGCTAAGGACAGAGCTCAGTGGGAAGGTCCTGGGTCCAACCCCTCCGGTCCGCAAGTCCTGTGCCCCGGCGCTGGCTCTGCCGCTCGTTCTGGCGTGGCGCCGGGCAGAGAAAGTGCCCCGTCCCCAGCCTCGGTCTCCTGCTAAGCCGGGGGAACGTGCCCGCTTGCACAGCACTGGGATGAGCGAGGGTCCCCGCTGCTCAGAGGCGGCCGAGGGCACAGGCCTGCCCTAGGGAGCCCCATGCGGTGAGTGCGAGAAGCTGCCTAGCTCCAGAGCCCCGTGGCCCTTCGCGGGACTCGGCCCCTGGCAGGCCGGGCGGCCGGGAAGCGTCCACGGAGTGAGCGTAGGGCGCCCTCCCAAGGCCCTCCGCGTGCGCACGGGCGCGGTGCGCTGCCTTCGGGTACCCGACAGCGCGCTGTGCCCCGCTGGGCTTGGGGTGCGCTAGCTCCTGGAAGGAGGTGGTGTCTTGTGAAACCCGAGCGAACCTGGCCACGCCACCCCTGGTTCTGTTACCCCAGAGGGCTCCTGGGGGTTCTTAGCGAAGATGTGCGGGAGGGACCGCAGGATCCCAGGGAGCCGGGGAATTCCTGGGGCGGGCATTTGAGGAGGCGGAGTTTTCTTCTTGGTTTTCCGGGGTGGTGGGGGTGGAACCCGGGGCCTTGTGCGTGCCAGGCAAGTCTTGTCCCTCGCTGGGTGGACTTTCATTTCACAGGCTGGTGGTGCCAGGAACAGGGAGAAGGGTGAAGGGCAAAAGGGGCCCAAGTCCGAAGGGGAAGAGAGGGGTGTGCAGACTTGTAACACTGCTCTGAAGCCGGCAGACGGCCATGCCTGTCACCGCGGCGCTCACGGCGCTCGCACAGCCAAGGCAGGAGGACCGAGTTTGAGCCCAGCAGTGGCAATTTAGCGACTCAGTGAGCCCTGGTCTCACGATAAAAAATGAAAAGGGCTGGAGCTCAGTGCGAAGGACCTGGCTTCAATCCTCAGTACCAGAAAAACAAAACAAAGCAGAAGAGTCTACACAAGGAATTTCTAGGGCAGCGAAACCATCCTGTGTGACTCTGCAAGGTGGATGCGTGTGGATTCACACCGGCCAAAATCCGCAGACTGCAGCAAGCTGGGTGCAGCTCAGTGTGGAGCGCCCGCCCGCCACATGCAAGGCCTGGGTTCCATGCCCAGCGCCCCAAATGATGATGACTGTGCTGCTGTTCGCTGCTAAAGACCACTTCCCACTCTGCGGAGGCTGGTGGTACAGGCCTAGTGGGGCGCAGAGCCCGTGGGAAATCTGCACTTCAAAATCTGTCAGCTTTTAAATATGCTGTAGTCCTAAAACCGCTCTAAAGGGCTGGAGATAGAGCTCAGTGGCACAGCACCTGCCTGGCAAACACCAGGTCGTGAGTTTGATTTCCAGTACCAAAAAAACCCAAAAAACCTTGCTCTACAAAATAGTCTAGCTGGGCATGGTGGAGCACATCTGTGACGCAGAACTTGGGAGGCTGAGGCAGGAAGATCTCTGCAAGTTTGAAATCAGCCTGGGCTATGTAGTGAATTGAAGCCCAGCCTAAACTATGTAGCAAGACACACAGTCTCAAAAACAAAACAAAACAAAATAAAACCAAGAACAACAGCAACCAAGTCTGTTAACTTTAAAAAGAAAAAAAATGTTTGAACAGAATGTGTAGAGCCTTCTAGACACTCCTGGAACTGCAAATCTACATTCCTAGCCTCCTTGAAAAACAGCCCCAGCGGTGGCAGCCCCAGCCAGGAGGAGGTGGCTGGCTGGGTGTCATCCGGGGACATCTTCCTGGTTTCCCTTCTCAGCTGGCCTGGGCCAAGAGCCAGGGGAGCTAAGGGTTCCCACACCAAGGCCTGGGACACTTTTGTTGTCATTACTGTGGGTCTGGGTGTTGCTGGTGACCATGGTGATGCTGTGGAACCCTTGAAATACTCAGGACAGCACCACCCCACTGCCTAGCGTGGACAGGGAAAACACTGGTGTGGAGAATCAGTTCTTATCTGGGGAAGTTCCAAAAATACACCTGGCCCTCTGCACCTGTGGGATCCGCAGCAAAGAGTCAACCACCTCAGGTGGAAAATATCCCGAAAACTGTGCCCACCTGTATTCAACATGTATGGGAGTTTTTCCAGAGCAAATCCCTATGCCGAGGATATAGCTCAGCCGCGTAAGTGCTTTGCCTGGCTTAAACCTGAGGTCATGAGTTTGATTCCCGGTACAAAAAAAAAAAAAAAAAAGAGTGAGTCCCCAGGGCCACAGCGTAACACTTTTGCCCCGTGTGACACTGACACCCTGCATGCTGGAGCATCCTCGAGTCTGGTACTCACAGGTGTCCCAGAAGCACCACCCAGGGATGCTAGGGACCTCAGGATGCACGCAGACCCAACTCTGGTGACTGGTCCAAGTGATGCCTGGGTGGGAGGAGTCTTAAAAGTTGCCCGAGTTAGCCGGGTTTGAGGACTGTGGTCTGGAAGGTTCTTGAACGGGTAAGGGCTTAAGGTATCTGACCACTATTCACTCACTCATTCATTTATTCATTCTGTCATTCTTTTTTTTTTGTTTTGGTTTTTCTCCGGTACCGGGAACCGAACTCACGACCTTGCGCATGCCAGGCAGGTGCTTTTGCCGCTGAGCTAAATCCCCAGCCCCCCATTCTGTCATTCCTGTAAGCACGCACGCAGCACCCTGCTTCCTCCTTTCCCCCTGCCTGGAGCTGGGGCCCAGAGAGGCTCCAGGCTCCACCCTCCGTGCCCACCGAGTGCTCGGGTGGGGTACGCAGCGCCAGCTTCTCTTTGTGGCTAAGCGGGTCTTGAGCTTCAGCCCATCGGGAGTCACCTGGAGTCAAGGTTCAGGTACAGATGGGGGTTCGGCAGGTCGGGACAATGCCTGGACTCTGTACCTCTGTCCCACTCCCAGGTAACAGGGATGTGGGTGCCCCAGAAAGCCAGAGCGGAAAACGCCAGCGTCATGGGTACCACTTTCCCTGGAGCCTTCCAAATAAATGCACCCCCCCCCCCGTCCCAGGCCAAACCGCCCCCCCAAAACAAAAAAACAAAAAAAACCCCACCAAATAGCCAGGAAAGGTGCTGGGCTTGGTGGTACACACCTATCATCCCAGCACTCAGGATGCTGAGGCAGGAGAATCCCTGAAAGTTTGAGGCCAGCCTGGGCTACAGACTGAGTGGAAGGTCTGTCTAAACTGCATAGTGAGACCCTGTCTCCAAAAAAAACAGCCCGGAAAGGGTGTGTGGGATTCTTTGAGCAACGAACCTTCACAGAGAAGCAGAGCGAAGCTTGTGGAGGTGGAGGCACCAGTGTGATGTTTACCCCGTGCCAGGGGAAGAACTGACTCCCAGTTAGGAGATTACCTTCCCTTAAGCCAGCTTAGCTGTCAGCAGCCAGGGCCAGCTTCAGGGGGCCCTGGGCTCAGAAAGGCTCCAAACTCAGAAATTCTTTATTTCTGCCCAGGTTGTCATTCTGTACCTGGCCCTGAAAATTCTGCGCAATTGGTTGGTTTTTTGGGAGTAGTGGGAATAAACCCATGGCTTTGCACATGTTGGGCAAGTGATCCGGCACTGAACTACACCCCTAGCCCCTTCTACATTATTTTAAGACAGGGGCTTGCTAAATTGCCCAGGCTGGCCTCAAACTTGTGATTTTGTGACCCTCTTGCTTCAGACTCCAAAGTAACCTGGATTATAGGCTTGGGCCACTTCCTCTGGCTAGGCCTTGAAAATTGTACAGCTGGGACTGTGATCCCACATGGATTCTAAGAGGTATTTACAGACAGCCAGATGTGGTGGATCAAGCCTGCAATCCCAGCACTCTAGGAGGCTAAGACAGGGGGATGACAAATTGGGAGCCCAGCCTGGGCAACTTAGTGAGATCCTGTCTCAAAAAATTTTTCAAAAGTGGTGGGGATGAGGCTCAGTTGGAAGGTACTGTGTTCAGTCTGCAGTTACACACACTTACACACACACACTTGCAGAAGCGGAGCACCCACACCAAATGGGGTGGGGCAAACAGTGCAATCAGACACCTCATTCTGAGGTGCTGGGGAGGAACCCAGGTCCTCATGCATGCCAGGCAAAAGCTCCCCACTGAGAAAACCCACAGGCCAGGGATTTAGCTCAGTGGCGCAGCGTTCAGCTAGCAACCATAAGGCCATGAGTTTGATTCCCAGTACCCCCACACACAAAAAAGAGAAAACCTAAGGTGTGTCTGTGGGGCAGCCAGGCCTGAGAACTACTGCCTGACCTTTGGGACACTCTGGGCCAAGGCATTTTTGGTGCAGCCTCCTTTGTTTTAGATTTTCCGAAAGGTGCTGGCTTCTGCATCTGCCCCGGGCACTGGCAAAGGCCACCAGAAATTCTCCAGATAGGAAACAACAGCCCCAGGTTCAAGCCAGGGCACTACAAAGTTTATTCTGATTTGCAAAGCAACTGCTTCTTAAAAGATTAAAGAAACAGACTCTGGCAGGTGGGTAGGCAAAAATAGCACCTCTGTGCCTGACAGCAGACCATCTCGTTTGCATAAGAGCCTGCCCTCCGGTTTCCAAGTGTACGGTATAAATGCACACAACAGAACTCCGGAAGGGAGGGCACCAGTGAACTGTGACACGTTTTCGGCCTGTTTTAGTAAACAGAAGCGCTTGTCTTCATCACCTGAAAAGGAATAAAGCTGCTGCTACTAGAAGAGAGAAAGACTCAAGCTATTCCTGTTCTGAGATACAGCCACAGTTTACACCCAAGTGGGAGAAGGAGCTGCGAAGTCTTTTTTTATCTCAAGCTGAATTCTCCTGTCCCTTGCGAGAGCTGGTGAGCTCCAGTAGTTAAAACACGGGAAATGAACAAGAAGCATGTGCTGCTGGTGAACCCGGTATAAAAATAGAACGCGTTCCAAAGAGGCCATTTGTTCTCATTTTTAAAAAATGTTGAAAGGGAAGGGAAGCAGCCTGTCCTTTCTCCTGCGGTTCCCCAGGGGGTCTTGGGCTGGGAACCAGGCTGGCCCCGCGTCACCCAGCCAGGTGGAAAGGATCCGGGAGTGGAAAGGATCCCAGGCCGGGTTGGAAGGATTCCCACGGCGCTGGGCGCGGAGATCCTGCGAGGGGCACGTAGGGGGACAGGAGGGAACGCCGGTGTCACTTTTCCGAACCTGATCGCGGCCACCAGCGCACAGGCCTTATATAGACATCGGCAGGCGCGGCGCGCGTGCCAAGGGCGCCGGGAAAGGTCACTCAGGGGCGGCGGGGACCTGGACACGTCTCCATGCGTGCGCCCCAATCCACGCACCCCCACGCGCGCCCCGGGGCGAACCCACCATGGCCGCGAGACCGCTCGCCCAGCGCCCCGCGCCTATCCCGCCCCCGCCCCGCGCCAGCCGCCTGGCCCCGGAGACTCACCCGGCTCATACTTGAGGTAGAGAAGGGAGACGATGAAGTAACTGAGGTCGAAGACGGGGAAGAGCGGCACGCGGGAGAAGCTGAGCGCCAGCTCGCCCAGGCTCAGCGCCGACAGCAGCTCCATGGCAATCGCCCGCCCGCCGCCGCCGCCGCCGCCGGGTGACAGCCGGGC